CTTGTATTTTAAGACATTTTAAATAGATTTTTTTTTTTCTAATGTAAATTTTATGGATTATCTGATTTTATTATTAGGTCTGATTTTATTTTATTTTTTCACTCCTTGATTTAATTCACTCATACTTCAGTTGTGTTTTATTGTAGACGCTGTGCAGCACTTGGTGTTTGAACGTAAAGTTGTTTTTAACGTTGAGGCACTCGGGGTGAACCAGGCGACGCCATGTTGGATAAGCGAGTTGCGGATGAACTCAAGGAAGTGGAGCAGCTCTCCAGATGGCGAGAGGCGCTCGGGCAGCTGACATCGATCTAAAACAACCTAACCGCTTCCCTTATGGTCGGTAAGTTGTCCAGTTAAACGTTAAGGACAGAGCGGTTTGGGGAAGGGTGCTTTTCGTCATTGCCGCGCCGACTGCTGCCACAGACGGAGATGACTTCCTTGACCCAGAGAAGTTCGGGCCTCGTGCAGAGGCGAACCGAAGCCTCGCGCAGCGCGGCGGAGAAGGACCGCACGCCGGGGCAGGAGGACCACGACGAGCCCCGGCGGGGAGACGAGCTGGAGGACGACGACACCGGAGACTCCAAAGAAACCCGGCTGACCTTAATGGAAGAAGTGTTGCTGTTAGGACTGAAGGACCGAGAGGTAAAGATTCAGCTCTAACAGCAGAAGGCTAATGTTTCCCTCTGCTTTAGCTTAGCTTGAGCTAAAAGCTAACAACAACGCAGGCCTCTTGCTTGTTTTATGTAAAGGCGAATATATGAACATACGAGCTGTTTAATGAATTGTACACAGTCTTTATTGATCTGTTCATATTAGAATCAACACTAAGTTCGATCAGTTCATGACAGCAGTTTGCGTTACAGCCATATAGAAAATGGCTGGTGGTGGACGGAGTCCCCTGCATGTTCTCTGCATCGCAGCTTGAAATTATTATGATGAAGCCTCATCCATCACGAACAGTATATTCATCATCACATAATACCTGTCAGGCTTTGTGTTTCTTAGTTTGTAGTGTTAGCAAAATATCTCACGGCCCACTGGACGGATTTTAATGAAACTAGGTGCTCATTGGATGTTTATCTACATATTATTATTATTAATACTATTATTGTTGTTGCTATTATTATTGTTGTTGTTATTGTTGTTACTGTTTTGAAGGAAACTGATTCAAGATGGCCACCATAAGTCATCCTAAGCAAATGCTTGAATGGCTATAACTCAGTTTTACAGATATTGTGCTGAACTTGGTGTGGTAGTAGCTGAGAGTCATTCACAACACATAAACCAAGTGCTTCTGATTGTGAGGGATATTTACTTAAAACTTTAGCATAAACCCTGCTCATCTGTTAGCAGAATATGTTGATCTTAATAAATATTTCAGAAAGTAATGTTTGAATGCACTTCTACAAGTAGGGTGCACCGATTTCAGTTTTCTGGACCAGTTCTAAAACATCTGACCTGCCCATTCAGATTTGGGCCGATACTGATTGTGTTTAAGTGACACTGTCAGGTGTTATAAGGTCACGATGCACCTTCAATTTTCCAATATTGTTTTATTGGAGGAAAAAAAACATCCTTGGACAATATCCTAGAAACAATACAAACTTGTTTTAACTGGCCATGAAGTAGTGCTCTGAAATATAAATGTTTAGACAATTGTTGTTCAAACTAAAAAATGTTGTAAAATTGGTTTCTCATGTATCAGCCAATTTCTGATTTCCCAAAATTAAGGAAACCGGGGCCGATTTATCGGTGCACCCCATCTACAAGTGATTAACTTTGAGAGTAAATCCTGTTCAATATGGCTGCCACAGCTAATCATCATCGGCCACAATATAAATGGTTGTCTCAGGGCACTGTGCTAACATTCACATGCATAAAATTGATTAGTAAAGTTATTAGTTAGTCCTTCTATTCTCCGGTGAAACCAGACGTGTTTGCATGTCTTCCCCCCCCACCCGCTTCCCTGCTGCGCTCTTTTGTCCTGTGAACCCTTAAAAAGCCTCTTTTTTTTCTGCATACCTCTTAATTCAAAGGATCAGCTGGTCTCAACAAAATCGATCAACTTCTCCCGACAGGAATCAGGGTAAGGAGGACCCTCTTACCTCAACGGAAACAATTGGGTTCATGATGACAACTAGTTATTTTGCTGTTTGGGTTGGTGAAATCTTGGATTGTCTACAAATTCGTGTGGAGGTGTTGAAGCTCGACAGTGCTCAGACTGAATGTGGAGCTGCGACAGGGAGTTGGAGCAGCTGTTATCAGGACTGTGATCTCCCTGGCAGCACTCATGAATGCTGGGAATAATCTTGGAGAAGCTGTGAGCTCGACTTTAGGAGTAAAGGATCGCTTCGGCTGTTTTGGAGTTTCCATCAGAGAATATGTACAGCGAGACTTTAAAGGCAGAAACAACAATTCACGAGTTTTGCCTGACCCAAACTGTGGCCTTGACGCCGGACTTATCTCAACTCCTGGAATGTTTTGAAAACAACAAAGATGCTTTGACTGTTTCCTCACCCCTCCCTTCCCCAAGGCCGTGGACATGTGACAGAAACTCAACTGAGCTGAAGATGAATGTCACCTTATCTGGACAAGGGCTGAGGGGGGGCTCTGGACTCTGCTACGACTTTCCCTTAAAAATCCAATGTCTTCACCGCCTATATGTTCATGTATAACGTCTGTTTATGTTGCTTTGCTGTGGTAGGTTTTTTGATGCCTCAAATCGTGCCCTGTCTAGAACATGGAGTGAGAGATCTTTTTTTAATAATGTCTCTCATGTTTTCTTTCCTTTTCTCATCTAAGCAAAATATTATTCTGAATAAGAATAAGAGGGCCGCGCTAATTATTTATAGTCGCAGCTTCGTGCACTCCGCCCATCTTTCGGATGACTGTACGTACATATTCTCGTTGTATCTCGGTGCAATGCCAATAAAGTTTATTCTGATTTATCTAAGGAAGCCAGCAGATTATGTTGAGCTGGATGTTTTGCAGTATCACATAAGATAACATTAATGCCTGCATAACCTAAACAGTAATTCCAACTTTAATTTTTCAACATAAGATAATGTTAGTTTAAAACTCGAGCTTGAAATTAGTGGGTTATGTTTATTCATATGAACATGTATATATGCATGATGTATGTGCTGTGGGTTTCTTGTTTCTCTCATAACTGGGCTCTGATTTTGTGTGTTCACGATGCAGGGCTACACCTCTTTCTGGAATGACTGCATTTCGTCAGGGTTGCGAGGGTGCATGCTGATAGAATTAGCCCTGCGAGGACGCCTGCAGCTGGAAGCTTGTGGCATGAGGAGGAAAAGTCTTTTGGCCAGGAAGGTAGAACAAATTTTTGCTGTGTAAGTTCTTGAAAATAGCTCAGCTGAAGTTGTCGTTGTGGACTTTGCAGCCCAACTGGTGCCCACTTCTTTTAGATACGTGTTAACGTATTTTCCGCCGTACACGTCGCGTCAGTCCAAATATGTGTAATAAAGTGGAAAAATCCATAAATAAGTCACTTCACCGTGTAGGTTGCATCTATTATGCATCACCGCTGACAACCCGGAAATGAGTACGTTAACAAGAATTTAACAAGATTAACACTTAAAAACAATTATCTGTTTGCTCTAAATTATATTAAAGGTGTGTCTCGGTTCAACTTTCCCTTAATAAATGCACTTTGATGGTCAAATTAGTTGTATTTTCAAAAGTATTCGCTGCCTTGGTGCTCTGGGGGCATGCAGAGGGAGGAAATCAGGAAGCTGGAACGCTGCGCATTTCTTCGAAATTTAACAAGATAAGCACCTAAAAACAATTATTTGTTTGCTCGACATTATAGTAAAGGTGTGTCTCAGTTGAACTTTTACTTAATAAATGCACTTTAATGGTCAAATCAGCTGCATTTCAGTTTTTCAATGCATTTCTGCATTTCCTGGCATGATCCTGGAGCTCGACAAAGGTGTCAGACTGGCAAGCCGATTGTGTCGCTAAACTAGCGGCTCGCTATGCAGGTGCACTAGCTAAAAAGCTAAAGGCAGCCTCTTCCTTCACGCTGAACCCTCACGCTGAACGCACCCCCGCCTCTCGAAAACTGTCAGTACAAACAGCGCACGGCTGTGTCCCCCAAAACTGTTGGTTTAAACAGCGCGCTGCGCAGCTTAGGACGAGTCTCCATTCCAGCCAGCCAACCCCCCACCTGACAAAAGTCACGGACGAGATGAGCGCCCCGCCATGGCAAGTTATCTAGGGGTAACACTGAACAATAATAAAATAAAAATCTTAATAAATACAATAACAGTCAGAACCAGAACAATATGCAGCAACAGACTGTTTACAATCTAATCAAGTTTTAAGTTTTTGGCCAAAAAGACCAATTTGTTCACATTTTCTGCCAAAAGCTCAGATCTAGTTGCAGTGAATGTCTCCAGCGGTGGAGAAAACCTCTCACTTACAACAGGAATGAAGAGGTAGAGCTTTACTAATTTTGCAGTGTGGCTGTATTTGGCTTCATCATTACTCACAACCGCTTGGACCAGGTCCCACAGGTGGAACAGGTCCCACAGGTGGAACAGGTCCCACAGTTGGACCAGGTCCCACAGGTGGAACAGGTCCCACAGGTGGAACAGGTCCCACAGGTGGAACAGGTCCCACAGGTGGACCAGGTCCCACAGGTGGACCAGGTCCCACAGGTGGACCAGGTCCCACAGGTGGAACAGGTCCCTGGAAAAGTTCAGAGTTCAGTATCACAGACTTCTTAGCTGGAGGTGATCTGTGGTGGATTTCCCTGAACAGGAAGACTCGGCTGCTATCTCTGTCCTGGAAATAAAACACAAAGGGGAAAAAAAACGAGTTAATAAGATTATAAATTACAAAAAAAAAGTTAATTAGATAATAATAATAATAATAATAATAAAAGAACAATACCTCTTCTTGAACAGTTGTAATGAGGTGGTTGAATCTCTCGGTCATCAGGGCAGGGTTTTAATCTGATCCACGGCTCGTTGACAATATCAGTTTTAGCTGCTACAATTTTTTGGCTGAAGTGTTGATGTGATGGATGTGGTAGCGGGGCTCAAGAACTTTAAAGCCGGCGCATCAACAACATTCGGACGTAGATCCAGAGCTTTAAAAACTCCTACAGCTTGTGTTATTGCTCTGGACCGATCTGAACGACCTGATAAAGTTTGTTTAAATGCTGCTGTTATCGGTGTTTGCACCAAGCTGCTTTTCTTGCTTGTAGAAGAGGCGTTCACGTTCAAATGATGCCGTTTCAAGTGTGTTAACAAGTTAGACGTGTTGCTGCTGCAGATCCAATCTCCGTGAAACAACGTCGACACACAGCTTTGGATTTGCACTTGTCACAAGAAAGCCATAATGTTCCCAAACAGGAGACCGCAACGAGATGCTAAGCTGCTAATGCTGTGCATGCTTCAAGATAATAGCGCCGTGCTGAAACATGCTTAGGAATTTTAGTTCCGCGGCGCATAAACTCTCGTTAATAAAATTTAACGAGTGAAAAAATAACCGCAACGGTACGCACGTGGACCAAACCGAGCATGCCGTACCGAAATGGTTCGGTACACCCACGTGTACCGTTACACCCACGTGTACCGTTACACCCACGTGTACCGTTACACCCACGTGTACCGTTACACCCACGTGTACCGTTACACCCACGTGTACCGTTACACCCACGTGTACCGTTACACCCCTACTAAATAGTGAAGTAAATCGTGAACATCAATTTGGGAATTTGTTTTTGTGTAAATAGATTAGTAGGACTTCATAATGCCCACATTTTTGCCCAGTTTTAAAATAAGATTTAAAATGTATCTGCTGCAGCAACTTCAGTTAAAAAAAAGTATTTTAGTAAACGGGGATCTTAACTTTGATTGAACTTCACAGGTGATCTGTAAGTCAGATGCTCCAACGGGTGATGTGCTTTTAGACGAGGCCTTAAAACACATCAAAGACACCCAACCACCTGAGACGGTGCAGAGCTGGATCGAACTGCTGAGCGGTGAGTCCTGATAGTTTTCACCCACTGCCACAGGTGAAAGGTCCATGATGTGTTTTTTTTTTCTAGCATTAGCAAATTATGTCATAAAATTACATTTATTGTGCACAGTATGATCAGGCACTGCCCTCCAATCCAGTTCATACACACAGCCGTGCGGAAGTAGCTGAGCGTCATCCTTAACACGTACTCCCAAGTGCTACATATTGCACTGTTTCCCCTACCATTATACAAGGAGGCCGCCCCACCCTGTCAACAGAACCGAGCGCCCTGCCTACCCCGAACTGTCCTTCTAAACCCCATACCCCCACCCCCCGATCCTGGCACTGACGTAGATACAGACGTTCAAGCTTTTAGGTAGCATTCCATCTCCCTCACGCTGAGCTGTTTTCCTTCACACAGATGTTTCTTGAGCGCCCTGCCAAGGCAAGTGCCCCAGGGGAAACACTCTATTGTTAAATATTTTTCTCTAAAGTGTTTTTTTATTAATTGTATGCATCAACCCTGTCTCTTAGCAAAATATATTCCTAATCACTGGGTGTATTTTAAATAAACCCTTACAGTAATCACTGGCTGTACAGTAACAACAAATTATTTTTCGGAGTCTCCCTAATTCAAGATGGCTGCCACAACTAATCAGCAGCTGATTAACAAACCAGACATTAGCAGGTCTTCTGAAGTTTCTGTAAACATTACATCATTCATATGTCCACGAAGATTTTAACTTGTGTCAATCCACCACAGGTAAACTGCACCAGCAGCTGTCAGTTGTTTTAGACAGTTTCACCATGAACATCACCTGTTGGTTATGAGGAGAATATAACGTGACATAATGCTGCTTTAAATGGTGCTGTGATTCAGCACATGATAAATTACAGTGACCACATGGGTCCACTGAGCTCTAAACAATCATCCATCCATCATCTTCCGCCTGTTCCGAAGTCGGGTATCAGGGGTAGCAGCTTGAGCAGGGAGGTCCAGACATCTCTTTCCACAGCCACCTCTTCTGGGAGGATTCCAAGGTGTTTGCAGGTCAACTGAGAGATATAGTTTCTCCAGTGTATCCTGGGTCTTCCCTGGGGTCTCCTCCCGGTCAGACATGCCTGAAGCACCTCCCTAGGGAGGTGCCCAAGGAGCATCCTTACCAGATGCTCAAACCACCTCAACTGGCTCCTCTCATTGTAGGAGCAGCGGTTCTGCTCTGAGTCTCTCCTGATAACTGAACTTCTCTCCCGATCTCTAAAGCCCCAGTATACTCCCGCGTATGTTTGTTCATGCGTACGTACACATGTACTGTACGCAGAGCGTTCAGACTTCATACTCCAGCGTACACCCTGAGCAGCTGCAGAGCAGCTTCACAGACAGGGGGCGTTTACCTTGGGACAAATTGAGTTTGCCGATTGGTCATTTGCTGACACGCCTACTGGATTGATCGACAGGTCGGAAAGAAAAAAACGAGCACCGACAGCCGCCGCCGCAGCGGTGTTCTGTGTTTATATGTTGTTAATAAAACAATCTAAAAAAAAAACCCAGGAAGCCCTGGCTCTGCAGTCCACACATCAGACCAGCCCACCAGGAAATCTCCAGACCCTCCCGCAGCCACGCTGGGCCTGAGTTTAATTCGCTCGTGACAAATTCTTTAATTTCTCACCATTTCAGTCATGGCATCAATGGAGGAGGAAGAGATCACTGTCTCTTTGCAAAAAAACTAAAGAAAATGCCAGATCAGGGATGAAGAAGGGGAATTTAATACATTGGTGTCGCATACAAAACAGTCTGTCGCCGGGCAGTTTATTGTGCGACACCGCGTACGCGGTCATAAAAATTGAGCTTTGCACGGACATGCCCTGGGGGGTACACGCGTACCTCCATGTACGTACGTGCGTATCTCCACGTATGAACGTACACGGGAGTATACTGGGGGCTTTAGGGAGAGTCCAGCTACCCTGTGGAGAAAACTCATTTCAACCACCTGTATCCATGATCTCATTCTTTCGGTCACTACCCAGAGTTCATGACCACAGGTGAGGGTAGGAATGTAGACTGACCGGTAAACAGAGAGCTTTGCCGTACAGCTCAGCTCCCTCTTCACCTTCACAAAGTCCGGCGTACTGCAGACAATCAAACAGTAAAACAATCAGAACCAACTAAAGAGAAAATCCTGTGCAGTGTTCTGGTGATCACCTCTAACAACATCCTGACGCACAATGGGCTTTTTTTTAACAAAAGGATTATGAAAAACGTAACCAAACAGAAAAGTCATGTCTTCAGAATGATTCCAGGTTGGTTAGTTGTTTTCAATCCACCAGAAGCTGAGTGGACTATCAATCAATCAGTCTGTTATGAGTTGAACAGCCACTTTAGGTTTTCATACGCCTGTCAAAGGTGGTGGTCTCTGGCCGTAATCTTTCTCTTGTCTGGCCTGTAGTTTCTTATTGGCTCAAGATAATTTAACACTTCATACACATAAGCATCATCACTAGATGGAGTGTCCCATACACTTCTCATCACCACTATTTCAAGGTCAAGATCACAGATCAAGGTCATGTTATATAAGGCCTTTGCTAACTGGGCTGTTTATAGATTGCTGTATTTTTGTCTGTTGATGGGTGTATAATGTGCCGTATCTGTACTTTGTTCTTCGTTACAGCGCATTTTATTGACAAACTGTTAATATGTATATCGTGTGTTCTGACTACATTAACTTGGTTTATTTTAGTTTTTACATTTTATTAATTTTAAACGTACATTTTCAGGAGAGACATGGAACCCTTTGAAGCTGCATTACCAGCTGAGGAACGTCCGTGAGAGGCTGGCCAAGAACTTGGTGGAGAAAGGCGTCCTCACTACGGAGAAACAGAACTTCTTGCTGTTTGATATGACCACACATCCTCTGACCAACAACACCATCAAGCAGCGTCTCATCAAGAAGGTGCAGGAGGCTGTTCTAGACAAATGGGTGAACGACCCTCATCGAATGGACAAGCGTATGCTCGCGCTCATCTTCCTGGCTCATTCGTCTGATGTTTTGGAAAATGCATTTGCACCGCTGCTAGATGACCAGTACGACCTGGCCATGAAGAGAGTACGACAGCTGCTGGAACTTGAGCCTGAGGGGGAAAGCATAAAGAGCAACACCAACGAGCTGTTATGGGCCGTCATAGCTGCTTTCACTAAATGAGACTACAGGCTGAGCATATAGATGGTGCTGTGGGTGGACTGTGGGGTGGGAACAGACCATTAACCCCAACATGACAACTGTACCCACACTTGACCTAGCAGAGTGGGCTACTCTCCATGTTTCTGCCTTTATCAGTTGTTTCCTTTTAAATAAATGTTCTCATCTGTCGTCATTAGCCCACCTTCCCCCCTGTAACTGCCTGTCTGTCTGTTCAAACCAAATGTATGGACCAGAGGATAGATTTGAATGAAACTCACTAAGATGTGGTTGGATGGACGTTTACAACTGCTAACATTTGGAGTCGACCTGATCCAAGACGACCACCACAGCTAATTGATTTAAGCTAACACAAAAATGGCTAAAACTCAGTAACAGATCTAGAGCTAACGTATAATGTGGGAGTAGCTGAGAGTCATCCCTGCCACCTACTCCCAAGTGCTAACATCACATGAGCTGTCTGAAACGTTTATGCAGGGTGTGGGGTAATCTGCATTCCTTCATGGATGTTACTTTTCATTTATGTTTATTTCACCTGAAATTTAACTGTCGAGTTTTGAATGAAGCATTTGGCGACAAAATAGATCCGGCACAAATCACGATGTTGGCTTTTTAATAATTTTTTTTTTTTTTTTTTACTTTAGTTTTTACAGGTGAGGTTTGTATTTGACGTTCAAGAATACAATGGCTAACTTTGATGTGCACTTTAAAGCACAGCTGTAGTGGTCGTGTAAGACGATGACAAGTTCAAGGGATTGTCTGGACATTTTTGTAGCGGTGATCTATCAAATCAGATGTTTCTTTCCATCCGTGACGTCGGTCAGAGTATGGAGAGAGGCAGAAGGCTAAAGGTTAGCTAAACAATGACGGACCTTTTCTTTCAGCAACTCTTGAATCAAGAATCAACTCGTTCTTAAGACCAACAGATGTGTGTTAAAGAACGCTGCACTGGCTTATAATACACTTTTACATGTTTACATGAAGGCCTGTCGCAATAAACAAATCAATCACATGATTAATGAAAATTATCGACCTCATCATTTATCGGCTTTATCATTTCTTCGTCTCTCTTTCTACTGAAGACACTGGATGACAAAAGGCTCAACTCTGGTGCTCTTCACTGACCCTTTTTAAAATCCGTTTAACCATCCAAAATCACGGTTTTGGGTTGTTAAAAGAAGCTAAGCTGTTGGGGAAAACTCGGGAGGGAAAAACTCGTCTTGTTGAAGCTCCAAAATTCACGGTTGAAACCCGTGCCTTCGTGTGAAACGTTTTTCTTTGCAAAAAGAAGCTGAGAACTTGTTTACTGATTTTTTTATTAAAAGCTTTGTGTGAAAAATGCTACGCTAAAGAGCTCAAACCACACCAAGTGTCTGCCATTTTGAGAACCGAAGAGAGACGGCCCATGTCACGTCAAGGAGACTTCCTCCATTTTTCTTAGAGACACGCTGCTCACTCCCTCACTATTGATCTTCGGTTCAAACAGTCATACTGCCATCTGGTGGTCGAAAAAAGGTACTACACGCAAAACAAACCATCTTAAATTTGACAATTACTAATTATTGTCAAATTTAAGATGATAAGCTTCGATTGATGACTATTAATCAATTATAAATGACCAGACTATCCCTTTAATCTGTGCTGCTGGCAACACCAAATGTGATCACAGTGGAAGTAAATGTTCATGAAGCCACCTGTCCTAACAAGAACACAGCAAGTTATTTTCAGTGGCATCCAATAAAAGTTGTTTTCAGAACATCTGCTTCATGCATTGAGTTCTGCTCTGTCAGCAGCTGCACCAGATGTGGACAACATCTGGCCTTCAATATCCTTAACTGAAAAAACAACAAGTTGGATATAAAAAAGTTTTAGTCGTCAGAACTAGACGCTTGAAAAGGCAAACACGTTTAAGCTAATAAATGCCACAAAAGCCACTACTGAGGAGACTTATTCTTGTGAATTTTGCTAAGTGTTTTTTGTGACAATACAGGTCCTTCTAAAAAAATTAGCATATTGTGATAAAGGTCATTATTTTCCATAATGTAATGATAAAAATGAAACTTTCATATATTTCAGATTCATTGCACACCAACTGAAATATTTTAGGTCTTTACTTGTTTTAATACTGATGATTATGGCATACAGCTCATGAAAACCCAAAATGCCTGTCCCAAAAAATTAGCATAT